AAGCAAGTCAGTAATAGGGTTTGAAGAACATGTAGACAAGATAGTAGCAGAAATAATTGGGGTTAAAAGTGAAGTAGTTACAGCAGCAAGAGAATGGAGAAAAGTAATTAGAAGAGTAGCAATGCATGAAGGGATTGAGAAAGTAGAATATATTCTAAAACAAAAAAGCAATGAGACAAACAATCATCTTAATGAACAAGAACTAGAAGTAAATAAAATAAGTATAGAAACATCAAACATAGAAGAATCATCTAGAGTAAAGCTTATAGAAGTAGAAATGATCTCAGTTAAAACTCAATGTGAAACAGAAGCAATAACTACAACTAGAAACATAGCAAAGAGTATAGAAGGAATTAAAATAACTCAAGAAGATGTTTTAGACTTAACAAAATCACTAGACGATAGTATATGGGCACTAAGAGAAGAAAGATGTAAAAATATAAAAGAAATTAAAGCAAAAGTTTCAGCAGCAAATGTACTAGGAGATAATGCAGAATACCGAGCAAAATCACTAAAATGGGTACTAAGAGGAAACTCTTACGTAAAAAGAATATATGAGGAGTTTTCTAAGGGAAACCTATGGTGTGTACTAATTTTTAACTGTGAGAAAGGTTTTGAAGATACGCAAAAAAGATTAGCAGAAAGAAAGGAAGAACATGAGCAGGTCAGACTAATAAAAGAAGAGAAGAATTCAGAAGCAAATCACTCAAGTATAACAGAAATTAACAGCCAAAACAGAAAAGAAAACAAGAGAGGTAAAAGTAACTCTGAGCAATCAAATAAGAAGGTAAGTCTTTCAAAATCAAAAGTAATTCTCAAAGAAGAAAGAAAAGAGAATCATACTATACACGAAGGAATAAGAAAAAGAGAAGATCTGAATTAGAAAAGCAAGCAAGATTAGAACTAGAAGATATATATATACGCAGAAGTAGAAATGAAAATGCTAATATTTATGAAAGCAAAAGTAATGAATTGACTACTAAAAGACAAGCAACCTCCTTTGAAGAAGTCAATAATGATTTAAACAAGATTACTATATGGGACTTATCTAATGGAACAAAGAGATCTCAAATCTTTGAAATAGTATGACGTATAGGAAGAATTGAGTATATTGAAATAATAAGAAGTTCTATGGGTAGAACCAGAGCCGTAGTAGAATTCAAAGAAAATACA